TTCTAACTTCTCCAGCTGCTAACAATTCTACTGCTATCCTTGACTTAGACTTACAGAGCATCATAGTGCTCTGTTCATTTCCTATTCCTCACAGTATAGATGGCATTACAGTAATACTTTACTTTTCATCTTATATTGGCTATTGTTCAATCTTTTCTTATTGCTTCTACTATAAGAAAGCTGTTGCCCAATCTTTTACTTCCTTTTTATTATTAATTTGACCTTTCTGAATCCTTACTTCTTCCAGTTCGAAGGCAACTCAAAATCAATATGATTTTGTGATGCAAGCAGCACATGGTCACTATCCTGCCTTCACTTCTTGGGAACAAATCAATGTTTTTGTACATCACAGCTTTCCATACTAATGTCTTCTTACACTGAGCTACTAAAAATGTCTTGTTAGTGCAGAAAGATATTAAGTTGTCTAGCCCACAGCTGCACTTCATGACATTAAACACATTTTCATATATATTCTTGAAAAGAAAGGACAGGAATGAGATTTCTCATTCTACTCATTATGTCTTTATAATAGTTTGCTTTTTGTATAGGTTTCTGATATTAAATGGCAGAAAAAGCAGAAACTGGAACAGTTTGTAACATTATGCAGCCAGTTTAATTTTATACTGAATAGTTAACACTGAAGAGTTTTTCCAACAGCCATTAAGAGGTGATCCAATCCTGCTATCCACACAGACTCAGTTCCAAATGCAGGTGTCCAGTTCCTCTTGAGGTGTCTCAGGTGTAATGGAAAAATCCCACAGAAGGACCTGTGGAAGACTTGTGCCCATCTGGAGAAGCAGCTGGGGACTATCAAATGGCTCTATATTCATCTAATGGGAAACTCAATTGAGCCTTCAGTGTCTGCAGAGATGTGGAAGTAATGCTAGTTTCCTCTAGTTGTAGAGTGCAGAGATAACCTTATTTCATAAGTGATGTGATCGATGTATAAAGACAGGCTGTTTTTCTCCATCCTAATTGTTTTAGCACTGATTGCAATACATGTGATCTGCTTTCAATAGCAAGTCTTAGATTGCTCTAAACAAGTTAATTATATTTCACAACACCTTTGTGCAGTAGACAAATATTAATATTTCCATTTCGCAGTCAGAGAAGAAAGGAGGAAAAGAAAGGGTAAGTGACTTGGTGAAAATTAAACAATAACTCAGTGGCAGAACCAGAAAAACTCCAGACTTTCAATCACAGCTTGAATCCCCCACAGACCACTAACACAAAATGTAAGGATGATAATAATAGCATGATTTTAGGGTTTCAAACTGAGAGAGCTACCTTTGTTTGCAAAAAGACACTGAGCTTGTACCAAAACTTCAGTGTTCCAAAAGGTCAACGCTGGAGCCATAAATGATGGATCAAGATTGAACTCAATTTTCTGCCTACTACCATCATCACCTTGGAAAAAACATTCAACCATCACTCTGCAAGACATTCACGCTTGGAGATAATTTCTGAGCATATTGGAAAGGGTCACATCTATCCTCTTCTAGGAAGAAGCAGTATTTTAAGCTGATAATTAGAAGAAAAAAAAATGATATTCCTGTAATATCCAGATGTTTCGGTTAGAATGAGGGATGCTTAAAAATATATATGGAAAGACTTTGTAAGCCAACTTAAATATGGACAACAAGACTGTGTAATGAACAGCAAGATGAGGGTGGGAGATGAAGGAGGAGAAGAACAATTACAAGAGTTAGAGTCTCTGTATGCTGCTCTAAATGCAGTCTTATATTTCAAAATGTTTAGATGTTAAATGTTTTAAATTTGTGTGACATATGAAACCAAAAATCTGATCTACTAATTACTGTGAGGATTGCATTGTCTAAATTGCACCAAACAGGAGAAGCAAAAATCAATGACAGGCAAATTAAATGCCCTATGATAGTATAAATCCAAGCTGATTCTACCGGTAAGACAAATAGGAGGATTTGTCTTACCAGTAGAAAAAAGCAGGATTTTTTTTCTTTTCTTTTTTTTTTCCCACCTCAAATGTGAGGATACACACTATGAGATCCTGTATCCCTACTGAGTGTCCAGCTCTGTGAAAAAATGCATTTCTTCTGCAAGAGCCTACTCACATACTCAATGTGTATGAACACATGTACATTCTGTCGTGAGATTCTAGGACAATGTTCATATTGGAATTTTGCAATGACCTTTGCAATGACATTTGATAATGAATGGAGTTATATAGTGCCTAGGGTAGGAGGGAACTTCCTTAAGGGAACCTGAACCTTAGATACTCCCAGGTTCATGAAATAATTTGTTTATCTAGAAAATACACTCATCAGTTAGAGGGACAGCAGAAGTAATTTCTGTAGCCATGACAAGTGAAGATGCTACACAATAGGATAAAAGTATATACAGTTCAATCACCACCATGCCTTATTTATTCCAGTCTAACAGTCCAGAAGTCAGTCCAATTAGCTGTCTGTAACACATGAGCTCTTATGTTAAGTCCATTCCTTTAAACTTGTTCCATCCACAGAGTATTTCTATGATATATTAATCTTCACTGATGTGAAGTGAGAATAACAAGTTTATGTGAGATGAAGTCTACCAGCAAACTCTATTTATCTAAATATATAAAATGCAGTCACCATTAAAGAGTTTGAGCATTAATTCCTTTCAGTGTATATCATCCTGACCTGGAATAAAAAAAACAGTACTATCATCAGTCTCAAGCCAATCATATCTCCACAACAAGGGCTGTGGGCTTTAGAAATGTTTCCAGAATACATAGACAGATAGACAATCCAGCAAATTTTGCCTTGAGTGAACTGACCTAAACATCTTTGAGAAGCCATAGCTCTCACTATCATCTTCAGAACATTAGCTTGCTTGCCAGAAACATTGGTTGAAATATTTGAAGTAGCGTTAGCACAAGTCAGCACAATTTATGCTAGACAGAAATGTGGAAACTGCATGTTCTCTGTCTGACTAGAACAGAGCACTATCACACAAAACACACTGCAATGAGCCTACTACTGGAGTGTGAACATTCACTGGACACAAATTCTGCTTTTAATACTAAGTACTCTTTGTATCCTTTCACTGACAGATTTTTAAATGTTGATCTAAGAAAGTAGTATCCAAAACATGACATCCTTCTAACTTTGTACCTGCAGAGAAGAGACCATATATGCAACATCAAACTACTCCTGTATTGACTGGACCCTAGACAATTTTTCCTTATCAATTTGTGTTTTTCTATTCAACTGATTTTTATCTATTTCCTGAGTCCCACAGAGAATTAGAAATTAACGTTTCTTGTTTCCTTCCTGGCTATGCATTAACGACCTTGCTGCTTGGCTAATGAAGTCTTATACACTGAAGGAAAATAACAGGTAGGATTCTGCAGTCCTTACCGGCCTGACAGAGGGGGAACCTGCTGGGTTTGAGGTCCTTAACCTGTTAGAATACTGTGTGGTTCTGGACACATCAGTAAATTGTGACCAACCACCTGTTGGATCCATATGCTATAAAGCTGTTTGCCAAGCAGAGGGACTGCACACAGAATACCAGCAGTACATCTCCTTGTGCGCACTGTCAAGGGATGGGAGGGAAGGGCTTCTTGCAGTAAAAAGCATTTTACAATGCATAAAATGGAGTAAAATTAAGCTGCAGAAAACACATTCAAAAAGGCACCTGGGAAGAGCAAGTTTTCACTACATCTGATTTTGACCACAGAATAGGGAATATGCTCCTATGGAAATAAGCACGTGTTAGTGTTACTGCTGGCTGTGAATCTGAGGGTGGAGGAGGCTGATGTGTTGACTTCAGCTTTCACCTAATTAAAGATGTAGTAAGGCTTAAACTAAAGCTTAATTGTGTATCCTATGCAAACAGCACACCAGATCTGCTCGGCAGAAAGATGTCTATTCTGCTATATTTCTTCTACACCAAGAGAAAATGTTTCTAATGGTTCTTTTTTAGACATTAGGACACAGAGAGTGACAGACAAATTGACCACTAAAACCAGACCTGCAGAATAAAGCTGAATACATAAAATCCATGCTATCACTTCATACTTCCTGCAAGCACTGCTACACAGCAACTAGCCGCCAGCAGCTCTACTGCAAACCTCAGCATATGGCTCCAAGTTGCTTTGCTCCTGTATCAATGCACAGAAATATGACACACCAATATATACATTGCCAGTAGGATTTTTTCAGTTATTTCTTCTGCAGGATGCACATGAACTTCTTCCCGTGCCCAGGCAAAAAAAAAAAAAAAGAAAAAAAGAAAAAAAAAAAAAAAAGGTTTATTTTAAAACACAACTTAGATCATTTTTTTGAAAACCACTGCACTGGCGTAAATCTCCTGCCACCATCACACAAGCACTCCCCAAGACAGACTCCAAGGCTAAGTACAGAGTTAATCAAACTATCTGCTTGGGCTGAGCAATTGTTTATAGGACAGTGTAAAAAGTCAAAAGGTCCCTTTGGGCTCCATTATTTAATGTGTGTTTTTATACTGTCCGCATTATGGGTTATATTGCAGCAGCATTTTGCTCGAGTTGCTTGCCAGCATTTACTATAGAGGAGCCCTTAGCAAGCTGTCACATCTGTGTCCACTCCTGTACCACCCATTTAGCAGAGACAATGATGACCAGAAACAACAAAGGAGTGACAGATAAAACAAACAATGCTCTGAGCCAGAGATCACAGCCATCCCAGGCAAGTTTGCCATGGAAATATTCAAGAAAAAGGAGGGAAGGAAAGGGAGACATCAAATACAGGACTAAAAAACTTACACCCAGATGAGGTTTTAACCACGTACCCACACAACCCCACATCTTTGGAGCAATTTCTAACGCTCTGGTAGGGCTGAGCAAGGAAGAACGAACAGAGCACATGGGAGGCAGACAAGCATCCAGCGTCTCCTCCCATTTGGAGTCAAATAGTCTCCTGCGAGTCACGAGACAGAAGGAATAATACTAATAATTGTTATTATTGTAATAATGATAGTAATAGAGATTCACCAACCTTGAGGATCCCAGTTCACCTGTTTTCTTGGAGTCTCGATTGGAAATTTCATCGCTTCCTTTTTACACAGGGAGAAAAAAGAATTAAATAAATTTCCCGACCTTCCTGTCTCAATGCTGCAGTCAAACAAATTAATTTCAAATTATAGGGAGTCTGCGCTGTTTGACTGAGGGAAACTGGTGGTTGCCAAGGCAAGAGATACACAAATAAATCAAAGAAAGTGGGGAGGGCTGGGGAGGGGCGGGAAAGGGAGCAGGGCGGTGGGGTTTGCAGAGGGAGGTGAGGAGGGGTGCGGACACCCCAGCAGAGAGGGGGAGTGGAGATAAGGTAAGGGCCGCAGGGGCCGGGGCTGGGCAGCGTGTGCTGCTGAGTCTTGGGCTCGCCCGATCCCTCGCGGATGCTGGGGCGGCACGGTCCCCGCTGCAGCCCACCTCAGGGGCTCGGGGCTGGGCAGCCCTCAGGAAGCGAGCCAAGCCCACCCCCAGGGACACCTCCCACACGTACACACCCCAAAGCTGAGCCCACGTCAGCTCGGCCGCAGCACTAGGAGAGTAACAGGTCAGCCAGCGGGGGCGAGCCGCAGCGGCATGGCTGGGGGAAGGCTGGGCACCCTCGGCTGGGTGTAGCAGCAGCCTGGCTAGCTGAGGAGAGCCGAAGCAGGAAGGAGAGGAGGAGGAGGAGGAGGAGGAGGAAGCCACCCTATAGCTTTGAAGGGAATTCACCGAGTCCCTCTCCTCACTGCCTTAAAAAGGGAGTGGGAAGAGGCTGCGAATCCCTTTGTGAGGAGGCGGCGGCGGCGCCGCGTGCCCCGGGAGGGGAGGGGAGGCTTCCTCCGATACTTACTGGGTCCTCGGCCCCGCAGGAGGATGCAGGCTGCTTTGGCAGAGTTGGCAGCCGCAGCCACGCTCGGCTAGCTATTAGCAGCAGCACATGGCAGGAGCACGGTGGCAGCCAGAGACTCCGCAGCACCGGGGGAGGGGAAGGGCAGGGATGCTCAAAGCCGGCAGCCCAGCCTAAAAAGAGCACCTCGACCAACCAGGGGCTCCCTGTGCCCTGCCTGGTCCGCTGGGGGGACACGGATAGACACCTGGCGTTCAGGCAGGGCTGAAAGATGTGGTCAGGGGTGGGGGTAGGAGGGCTGGAAGGAGGCTCAGGGGTATCAGTGACCTTCCCAGCCCCCAGGCACTTTGGAAAAAGTGGAGGACGCTGGGGTGTCCCTTGTGCCTTTATCAGACATGTACTACTTGCGCAATCTGCAGTTATCCTCTTCTCCCTCCTGCTCCTGTTTTCCTCAAATACAAATTAGGCTGCTGACAGTTTACACCAGACGTGCTTTCAGTTCGAGTTACAATGTATGCCTCAGCTTCCCTCCTTTAGCCAGGAAAACAAAACCCCAGCCCATCTGCAGGGCTGAAGGAAGAGTGTGAAAGGTTAACCCTGCCCTGCCTCCGGTTTTTCAAACTGTGAAAAGCACATAAATCACTGGGAATGGTTTGGTGGGAAATATCCACATGTTTACATGGGTCATGTGTCAGAGACTCACATTAGAATCAGACTGAGGTCTATAGCCAAAAAAGCCTTCTGAATTTCCAGGAATCAAGTTCAGATTATAAACTTGCTCCTTAAGACAACTTCTTTTCCTGCACTTTTTGCCCCTAACTTCTTTTCACCCAATTGCACTGTCTTGTTTTCCTATCTGTTACTCAGATGTTAGTTAAACCTGTATGAAAAAAAGAGAGAAATCTTACCCAGGTGAAAAATTGGGCTGTCTGAAGTGTGTGGTTCTCCTTGGGAAACTCTCATTGTGAAGATTTGCATGCTCTTTACACTTCCAGATTCAGAAGGTAAATAACACAGACTCCTGCACACACTCTTTGTTCAACCTTACCCAGGAAGAGAAAACCAGTATTTGTGAATCCATCACCTTAATTTGGCAGTGGCATGAAAGTCCTTTAAAGCAGTATGTACTTTGGAGGTACTATATGAAATAGTAGTGCAAGTTTTCCTTGGGGGGAGGTGCTGGGTGTCTTTTCTTTTCTTAATCTGAGCACCCCCGTGGCTCTTGTTTTGTTCTGTACAGGAGGAGGCGGGAGAGGCTGTTTCAAGGGAGAACATGGTAAGAATTATAATGAGCCTGCTCAGTCAGATTTGAATTTGAGATGATTGCAATGACACCAGAAGAACAAGGTATTTCCTTTGTAAGTATCCTACGATACATTCTGAAGAGGCTTTGGGATTCCTGTTGACGTTACTTCTGCAAACTGAATGGAAAAAATTGAGAGTAGGCTTTGCTAATTGTGCAGCATGATTGCTTGAGTCATGACTGAAAATCTTTTTGCTATTCTAGTAACCTATAAAGACTTTGGAGACTTCTGAACACCTTATTCTAAAGGACTTCTAATGCTCTCTCTCTCTCCGAATGTATAATATATGTATACACACATGAATACATAAAATCTATGCATGTGTATAACATTTCTTCAGTATTCCAGTTTCCAGGTTATTATTATCTTCCTTTTATATTACTGGTAAAACTTACATATAGACAAATATTACTTAGTTGTGATTAGGAGCTCCGTCACTCTAACGCAAGCAATACTTTTGTCTTTTTGCCATAACTACTAACAGTTAACTGATGAGTAGTTATTATGCTGCAATCATCTGTTCACTGAGAACTCACCCAAATTCAACAAATTCAAACTGGCTTCTGAAAGGCCAACAGCATTTAATATTTGCTAACATAAGCACGAAATGAACCTATAGTCTAGAGATGAAATCTTCAGGCAATTTCATTACCAAGCATTTGCAAATAAACAGATCCTGTCTTTCACTGTCTAAAGAAGAGTAATTTTAATGTGGCCTTAAGAACCTTACATTATTAAGCTGACTTTAGACAAACATCATATTTGTTTGACTTATGGTATCATTAAAACACTAAGTTCATAATAACGAAACAATATTATATTCCTGTCTTTGTAACCACCCAATGTTCCCACATTCCCACTCAAAACTATCTGTAAGCTTTACAGTAATTTTTGTCTCGGCTCCAGCTATACAGCTTAAAAATCTTGCTGTAAATTGATTGTGATCTGTCAGGTACAGAAATACATGATATCATACAATTGTTTTGCAATTTTTTACCATGTTATGATCATGGAAACCTTGCTCGATTATTTCAATACCTGAGACCTGTAGTTTTATCTAGTTGGCCAATTTACTCCCAAAGTAACTCATTTAAAATCAATGGGGTTACTCCAGAGATGGATTTGGCACAATGAGCGCATCTTTCACTGACAGCACAGCTGTTGCATAGAAACGTAACTATTATCTTATGCAAATAAAAGGCCTTTCACCCCTCAGTGATGTCGAATTCTCATGATAGGCAGAACTGGTGCCTTGAAGCTATAGTATTTCAAGCTGTTACTCTGTCAACTTTTATAAGCCAAGTGGATTCAGTAATGTTTAATATTTAAACAGGAGACCACCAAGAAAAAAAAAAAATAAAGCATAATCAATCTACTTTAGTACTTGCATAACATTTTTCAGGTCTTGACTTTTTAACAGTAATTTAGCAAATCAGTCTGCCTAAATTCTTCAGATCTTACATCCTCAGAGTTGGTGTTAGCTGAGATCAGCATCTTGTAGGGATTGACTTGCGACCATCAAAACACAACCAACAAGATGCTATTTATTACACACAATCTCACTGACAGAAGAATAAAATGCTAAGTTCCATTTTATTGTTCAATAATATGGCATGAGTGACTTAAAAGCTGTTCCGGTGTAACTGAAAGAAGGCCACAGCAGAAAAGAATAATAAATATATCTTATACCTAGTAAATGCAGTAAGTAGGAAGTAGAAAATGCATCAGTGGTAGATTGAAATCATCTGTAACTTTTATGTTAAATTTCTTGAACATACTGAAGGAATACAATATGGTTAGGTGGAAATTCTTTTGCAGTCTTTGCATCATCACTTCACAATATGCACACGTGCATGTAACTATTCAGTTTATGGTTGCTAGAAATGTGCTATTTCTGATTTTGAAGATTGTTCTTTGTTTAGTTTATTGCCACGGACTGCTCTTTTTTACCCTAAGACTAAGAAATCCAAAGTATAAATCCAGTGAAGGGCATTCTGTTCTTTATGTTCTGTCTTCAGTAGTATGAATTTGGACAAGACCCAGTGAAGAAAAATTTTATAGCTTTTTTACTTCCTAGGAAGCCTTGTGTGTAGGAAGACTTATAAAGCCTTCTCTATGGAGTAAACTGAATAATTTTCTTCTGATGGTTTTCAGAAGATTTAGTGTGTCTGGGAATTAAAAAGTTAACTAATAATCAGGATTACCTCATCTTGTGCAAGGAAAACAAACTTGCTATTGCCTTTTACTGCTTGGTGTTTCTTAGAAATCATTAAGCCTCGATTTTCATTCATGCAGAGATAAACCCATAGAAATGCAAGTCTTTTATTTATTAACGAAATCACTGAATCTGAGGCTTTGTAATAGCCTTTTCCAGAACAGGATCTGCACAGTGTTTAAGTTACCACAGACAATCTACGAATTCCTTTAGCCAGTGACACTAAACAGAATACACTATGGATCCTATCTCTCACATCCTAACGCACCATTCATATTCCCAGCCTCATTGTAAGCATCCATCCCCTAAATGCCAGAACTGAAGAGAGGGTGCCTGCTTTGCATTTTGTAATTATCTACTTCATCCTCAGTTCTTTCCTGGTAATATTTTTTCATTAGCCAGACTCGAGCTTTCAGACACCTGTTACGCCAGTCCCTTTATTGTGCTAGCAAGGACTGAAGTGGCATAGTTAGCTCACATTTTTATTCTATCTTTAAAATTACAGTCCATGCACATTATTACTGTAATAATATAATGTAGCATTTTGTTCAGAAAGGTCTGTCATGTAAAACAAGTATTAAACTCAAGCTCTATAGTACTGAATCTCTGATGGAACCCACTTACATCTGTTTCATATTAGTTTAATTTGACTTCAGTACAATTACTCCTGAATCACAGTCATGGGAGAATTAC